TCATGGGGAGGTAGGGTATAGCATAAGGAATATAGTCAATAATACTGTAATAACTATGTATGGTGTCAGATGGGTACTAGATTTGTTAGGGTGATAAATGGGAGGGGGTTGGGGTCAGGGTGATAAAAGTGAAGGGATGAAGAAGTAGAAATTGATAGTTACAAAATTAGTCATGGGGATGTAAAGTAAAGTATAGGGAATATAGTCAATAATACAGTAATAACTGTATAGTACCAGGTGAGTACTGGACTAGTTGGGGATCACTTCATAAATTACATAAATGTCTAACCACTATTCTGTACACCTGAAATTAATATAAAATAATATTGAGTGTTACCTGTAATTGAAAAATTAAAAAAGGGGGTAAAGGTGAAGGGGAATAAAAGGCCCAAATTTCCAGATATAAAACAAGTAAGTCATGGGGATGAAATGTACAGCCCAGGGAATATAGTCAATAATATTGTGACAGCATGGTATGGTGTCCGATCATTGCTGGACTTATCATGTGATCACTGTATTTATACCCCTGAAACTGATAGAATGTTGTATGTTAGCTATATTTTAATAAAAATCTTTAAAAAAAAAACACCCAAAAACCTGTAGCAAAGTATATAAAACTGGAATAGCTTGAATTCTGCTGACAAGCAAATGGTGGTTCTTGTAGCATTAAAGCTTTTTGAATCAGTAAGAACTTCCAAAAATATGAAAGCTGGGTGGTATATTTTTAACACTTCTGTTTCTAGACTATGCAAAGAACTTGGGGATTGTTGTTATTCTTTTTTTTTTTTTTAGTTGGTAAAAAAAAAACTTCTCAAAGAAAAATTCAGGATTTTTAGTGTGTTTTATAATTTGAAGAAAAATGTCAAATTTTAATACCAATAGAAAGATAAAATTTGAATTTTACTTTAGAGGAACACAGATTTCATTTTAAAAGTCATAATTTGCTCCATATCAAGAATAAGAAGAATGCTTTACACTTACATGATAGTTTTATACTGCAAAGTTTTAAAAATAATTTATATTAAATGGGAAGTATGACTTGGATCAATAGCTCTTCAGTGAATCAGAAGTGAAAATGAAGCTTTTTTACATGAAATTCTGGCCCATTTCAGGTATTCAGAGCACACATTTTCTTTTTAGGAGATTTGTCTTCAAATAGTGAGATAGAACCACTAATGTTTCTAATTCATAAGCGATATCAAGAAAGCTCTGTATAATAAATATATAAGTACAGTGTAAGTACAAATCTTGCAAAATAAATAAATTTAAACACCAACTCAATCTACTTTTGCTTTAAAAAATGGTTAAGTTTTTTGTTAAGACGTCACAACTCAGTAGATATTAAATTACACATCATTCTAAATTTTGTGAAAACCAAAAGTGGAATAATCTGTGAATATATAAGCAATAAACTTAAAAAAAAAACAAACCCGCCAACATCATTCTATATGTAAAAAGAAATCCTAAAGAAGAGTACACTATGGTACACAATATAGAAACTAAATTGAATTACTCTTTAATGAATCATATGGGACATATTTACATTTGCAGTGCCCGGACGCTTCCAATTCTCAGCCTTAAAATGTATGACGACACTAGCTTGCTTGTTTTCAGACCTCTGTGTCTCTTAGTCCCAGTTTTCTAAGTCAAGTCAGCAAACTCTGGCCCTTGGGCCAAATCCAGCCTGCCACCTGTTTTGGCATGGCTCTTGAACTAAGAATAGTTTTTACATTTTTAAATGATTGAGAAAAAATCCAAAGAGGAATATTTGTGACGTATGCAAATTATATGAAATTCCAATTTCAGTGTCTATAACTAGTTTTATTGGAACCCAGCCATGCTTATTCATGTAGTATTGTCTATGGCTGCTTTTGCACTACGACAGCTGAGCTGAGTAGTTGCAACAGAGACATATGGCCCATAAAGCCTAAAATATTTACTATCTGGCCCTTTACAGTCAGTTTGCTGACATCTGTTCTAAGTCAATTATTGCAAGCTTAGCAATTTTTTTTTGTAAAGTGGGATCTCCTGGGCTTCTTTGCTTCATTCATCATGCTTGTCCTCATTGTGGACCTCACATCATGGGTGAAGAAGGCTTCAGTTCAGAAATCATCAGTTTCCAGTTTAATTGAATGAAAACAAGGAAATTATATTTGTTTCCACCACATTCGTTCTTGACTTGAACTTCTTGCCCAAAGATCTTCACCTGTAAAGTTGTATATATTGGCTTGTTAATTTATTTTAAATGAAGGAGCAGAAATACTTATAATGTAGCAGGGGTTAAGTGTCCTTTGACCAACAGAAACCCACAGTTCTGGTGGCTGGGTTTGGGGACGTGACTGTTTTCTATAAACTCACAATGTTATAACATGATGTTCCTAGGAGGCGGGACGTTAGCCTATTTCTGTCCTGGAACACTGTATTCTTCAGAAAGATTTTTTTAATCATAACTGAACTGTTCAACTTTTTAAAAAAGGTGGAATTCCTTCAACAACTATATTNTCGGAGACATACGGAGGTCAGATGAGTTGTGTGGCTTCGGCAAGGACTGGAGGACATCTCTGTGTGGGGTCCTCCCGTGTAGCCAGCCGGTGGGCGCCATCTTTCCTGTGTTGAGCCCGCCCCCTATATTTATGGCAAAGTCTGAATCTGATTGGTCTGGTGAGCTCCACTGGGACTCTGCCCCACCCAACTCCCCCAGTGATAGAGGTACTTTCTCGGGGAGCAGCCAGCCCTGCCCGCATTGTACTCTTTCTTGGAAAACTCTCAGGGTCTGCAGGCCCCAGGTGGGTGGCGACTAACCTCAGTGTGCTCTGAGACATTTGCTGAGTAGCTCCAGGCTCAGCACTGGCACCGAACCAGAATCTGCATTAACCTGGTGACCACAATGCTCCACTCTAGTGATTCCCAGAGATTGACTCCCAGAGACTTTGTCTCACTCAATTCATGTACCAAATGAGGCTTTATCAGTGGCTAAATCTTAAGGGAGCTGGCAGATGGCAGCAGGCCTTGGGATGTTCTGGCTTTTTGTGGAGCTACGCCAGGCCCGGTACTGGTGGCAGACATTCTCGGTTTGCAGCATGGCCTCTCCCATGTACCTCCAGGGTTAGCACAGGTAGTGAACAACTGAGGATAGCTTTGTAGCTATTACCAGGTAGTCCCTGACTGGTCATGGGCAGCGGCTGACCTGGGTCTGCACTGGAGCCCCTCCCAAGAGGCCCCAGAACTAACATACTTGGAGGTTGGCTTCACACCACAGCAGAGAACCGCCCAATTAGCCCAAGTGGCACACCTAAAGGGTGGTCTCAACAGGTACCAGAGCCCACTGGGGCGAATCCCCCTCAGTGGGATAAGCCCCCTGCACAGTCTGTAGGCTGTGGATGTGGCCAAACTGCGCTGCCAGTCAGCCTGAAGGTCAATCCCACCTACTGACATGCATATAGCAACCAAGGCTCAACTATAACAGGAGGGCACACACATTCCCACACAAAGGACAGTCCTGGAACACCCACCCGTAGCAGGTGACTAGGGAGATTGTGCTACTGGGCCCACAGGGCACATACTACGTAAGGCCACCTGGCCAAGACTGGAGGACCTAGCAGATCTATCTAATACATAGAAACAAATAGAGGCAGCCCAAATGAGGAAACAAAGAAATACATCCCAAATGAAAGGACAGGAGAAAACTCCAGAAAAAGAACTAAACAAAATGGAGGAAAGCAACCTACCAGATACAGAGTTCAAAACAATGGTTATAAGGATGCTCAAGGAACTTAGAACTTCAACAAAGAGATAGGAAACATAAAAAGGACATAGAAACCATAAAAAAGAACCAGTCAGAAGTGAAGAATACAATAACAAATGAATACATGAGAGGGAATCACCAGCAGGCCTTATGAAGCAGAGAATCGAATCAGTGATTTGGA